AGAAAATAATCTGTATAAATTGAATTAGTTATTAGAAGCTATCCTGCTCTATGGAGTAGAGAGTTGGTCTCTGACAGAAAGCTACTTGAAGAGATTAGATAGAAGCATTTGAAATGTGGATTTATAGATGGCTGTTACGTATAAGCTGGGTTGACAAAATCAGAAATGAGGCGATTAAGCTGCCTGAGAAAGCCAAGGGAAATCATCAAAACCATTAAAAAGTGAAAATTGGAATATTTCGGGCATGCGATGCGATACCTGGAAAAATACGGCATCCTCCACTTAATCCTCCAGGGAAAGATTGAAGGCAAACAAGGTCCAGGCAGAAAAAGAACATCATGGCTTCAACATCTAAGAGACTGGTTTGGACAAAATTCAGCAGCACTTTTTCATGCGGCTGTTGATAAAAATAGGATCACCAACATGATCGCCAATGTCTGACGGCAGATATGGCACAAGAAGTTTAGAAGCAATTGTCCATCAAATAAAATAAATAATGAGAGCCAGTTTCATGTAACGATTAAGGAATCAGGCTAGAAACTGGGAGATACTGAGTCTTGCCTTAGGCACAGGCACAAAGCCAGGTTGGCTTGGACCAGCCCATGGGATGAGGCAATAACAAACCATTTCTGAAAAAAATTGTCACTGATATAGGAAATATATTTTATTAAATAATCAAGTGGAAAGGATAGGTTAAGTCAGAGATCTTCAAACTTGGCAACTTTAAGACTTATGGACTTCAACTCCCAAAATTCTACAGCCAGCTATGCTATGTTGGCTGGAGAATTCTGGGAGTTGAAGTCCACAAGTCTTAAAGTTGCCAAGTTTGGGAACCCCTGGGTTAAGTGATGTATTTTCTTCCACTCATTCTAAGTTTTTTGGCTTTTTCAAATAAAAAAAAAACAGCTTTACTTACCAGCACAAAAAACACCCTTTACTTTGCTTTTGATTATTACAGCACGGATACTTTCATCAAAATGAAGAACATCAAGGATTTCATATAGCTAATGAAAGAAGAGAATAAATCCCAACATTCAATTCAATGAAAACTTCCTTTGAGGTCACAGCTATGTATGTGTGATCACACTTTAGGTGATAAAATACATAAGCTGGTATGTGCATAATTTGTTTTTCCATATGTGGCTTCTGCTACAAAATCTGCATTAAGATCTAGGAAAGTACTGTTCATTGACAGTTATGCTTACCTTGGACACCCATATCCTTTCAAACAATATCTATATAAGGGAAAATTAAATACAATCACTTACTTCGTCCACAAACACTTTCCCCAAGGCATTTCTGGCATGTGGTCTGTTCATCTGAATTTCTGTGATTCCTTTACTCCTCAAAAGAACAATAATATATATTTTTTTAAAAAGAGATTTATGTCTTGTTTACTTAATCAAAACAATTCCAGGCCAACATTCAGTTCAAGCTCATAATAAAATATTAGAAAATTCAAACACTGTGTTTCAGGAGGTTTTTTTTTTTTAAGCACAGTCATCTCAGAGAAGCCTAAAAAGCAAATCTAGGAATAAAAGCAGCAGTAAAACTATTGAATAAATGTGGGCTTAGAAACCTAATTAAGGTCAGAGTTGGAGAGCAATCAGAAAATCATTCCAAAGAAGACTGTGTAATCCAGATCCGTGGACCGATATCAATCCATAGCATGCCAGAAACCAGGCCACTCAGAGAAGTGAAGTCCCATCTGTGGGATGTAGGCAGCACGCAACCCCCCACCCCGCACTCTGCGCTGCAGAAAAACCTGTCTCCATGGAACCGTCCCTGGTGCCCAAAAAGTTGGGGGCCACTGTTGTAAAACACTTCTAAATTGCAAAAGTCTAAGAAGTTATGAAAGCAAAGCTGCCTTGACTTTTTTTTACTGTATTACATTCTTTCTCTGCATTTACTTCTGAAATAGGATGAGCTGAGTGGAAAGGGGAACTGTGTATCATTTGAGTTATGTGCATTCTGCTTATGCATGGATATTTTAGGGCTTTTTTTGTGTGTGTATGCATGTGTCAGTCTTTATTCCTGTTGATTGCCTAGATCCATGATGGCGAACCTATGACACGCATGCCAGAAGTGGCACGCAGCCACTTCTGCCGGCACGCGAGAGGTCGCCTGGAAGAGCCCCACTGCACATGCGCGCACGTTGCCTGCCCGCCAGCTGATTGTCAGGTATCTGGCGCACATGCGCAGGGTGTGTGTGGGAGATGCATGTGCAGAGATGCACAGAAACATGTGGGGGGGGGCTCACATGCACAGAGATGTGTGCTGCACACATGGAGATTGCGCGCACATGCACAGGGGGCATGGGGGGGTCCCCTGCATGCATGGCCTTCTGGGTGCTGGCATGTGAGGGTGCACCCGCAATTTTCAGCACGGGAGCCAAAAAAGGTTAGCCACCACTGGCCTAGATAAATCCTTGCACTCCTCTTGAAAAGATTTCATTAGTGACTTGCCACTTCCTGCTTGCTAAGGCTGAGACAGTGACCAGTCTGGAGTCACTCAGGTAGACTTAGGCACAAGTCTTACTGTATAAGTGCAGGTAGTCTTTGACTTAAGACCACAATTGAGCCCAGAATTTATGTTGCTAATTGAGAAATTTGATAAGTGGGCTTTGCCTCATTTTACGACTTCTCTTGCCACATTTGTTAAGTGAGTCACTGCAGTTGTCAAACTAGTAACATGGTTAAGTGAATGTGATTCCCCCATTGACTTTGCTTGTCAGGTCACAAAAGAATATCATATGAACCCGGGACACACTGCAACCGTCATAAATATGAACCAGTTGTCAGGCATTTGAATGTAAATCTGGTGGCCACGGGGATGCTGCAACGGTCATAAGTATGAAAAATGGTCATAAGTCACTTTTTTCACTGCCGTTGGAATTTCAAACAGCCACTAAATGAACTGTTAAGTCGAGGACTACCTGTATACTGCTTCATAGTTACTCTTTATAGCTATACAAACTTTTCAAACTTCTGCCATGGGGCCTTAATTTCCTTACAAGAATCAAGCATTCTCATATGGCCAGAGTAAGTCCAAAGCCAACTTTGTTTAGCTTTGCGGGCTGTTTTCTCCAGGGCCCTCTGACAGCTACAGACGTTCCAAGGCAGAGTTGTTGTGTGTCCCCCACACACAAAACTTGGCAACTTTAAGATGTGTGGATTTTGAATCCCAGAATTCCACAGCAAGCTTGCCTGAGGCATTCTGGAAATCCACACCGTCTAAAGACAGGGGTCTCCAAACTTGGCAACTTTAAGACTTTGTGGACTTCAGCTCCCAGAATTCCTCAGCCAGCTTGAAGCCCACAAGTCTTACAGTTGTCAAGTTTGGAGACCCCTGTTTCTAAGAGAAAAGAATCCCTTTAATGAACACAATTGCGGCCTCCTCTAAATTCTCCCTTGACGATTGGCGCCTTCCCCGCCTAGCTAATAAAGGGGCGTGTCTCCGAGGTCTTCTACGATTGGCCCACGGCCTGGATCGCCCCAGGAAGGATGCGCGGGCTTTGATCAGGTCGCGCGCGGTGTCTTTTCCCTACCGCTCAGCTGTGGGAAAGGGGAAAAAGTTCCTTCCTTCAGTCTAGTCTAGAGGACAGCTGCAGGCATTTTACTGCATGTCCCAGAGGTGCTTTTTCAAGAGGCAACCGGACTCTCTGGTTTTTCTTTCAATTTCTTTGTTCAGAGAAAAACCAGAAAGTCCAGCTGCCTCTTGAAAAAGCACCTTTGGGGCAACCTTGACCCGGATGACTGAGAATCTCTCCCTCAGAATCTCCTGAGACATGTATCTCACAACTGGTTTCTGTGGCCTTGGGCCTTCGGGAGGGCTCCGGGAGTCACTTACCGCAGTCTGCCTTTCCGTGCACGTGTAACAGGATCTCTTTTTTCTTCTCTCCGGACGCGGGTCTTCTCGGGGAGATGCCTACAGTCCCCAGGCAGCTCTCCGTAGAAAGTAATCGCAACACAGCGGTTGCTTGGCCCAGGCGGAGCATTTTATAGGACGCAGCAGCTGGGCCGAGAATTAAACTTAACAAATTCAGGCAAAGCGAGGCTCTGCTATTAACGAAGAAAGGACGGAGGGCAAGCGAATTCCGGTTCGGTTCAAATAGCACGGATCTCTTTAATGGAAGCTGAAACAAACAAGTTTCAAACAACAAACTAGTTTCGGAGCAATCGAAGTACAATACTTTAGGGAAACGGAGGTAGCGCCCTCTTTCGAGCACGAAATCTCTTTTATTCCAAAAATACAATCAAAAGCTTCCTTAGCGTTAAGACCAGAAATCCCAAACTTGGCAACTTTAAGACTTGTGGACTTCAACTCCCAGAAGTCTCCAGCTAGCGTAGCTGGGAGTTGAAGTCCACAAGTTTTAAAGTTGCCAAGTTTGGGGACCTCTGGTTAAGACCGCCTGCTGATGATCTTATGGACAAGTCCGTACACTTTCCCCAGCAACTAATGCAAAAAATAAATTGCCAGCTTGAGGATTTTCTGGCGGTCTCACGTCCGAGTACTACCCAAACCCGAGTTTAATTCCAGTAGCTTTTGAATCTAGAGAGAAAGGATAGTGGAAGGCACTGCTACCAGCTGCTAAGGCTTTCTTTTTTTTTATAACAGGTGGGAAGGAGGCTTGTTCAATAACTTTGATCTGACTGTAACCAAGAGATTGTAAAGTGGCATGACACCAATGCAGCTATGGTCCTGTTCTTTACAACGTAACCCAGTTTTCCCAAACTTGCCAACTTTAAGACATGTGGACTTAAACTTCCAGAATTTCCTATGCCCCCCCCCCCCCTGGGGATTTCTGGGAGTTGAAGTCCACATGTCTTAAAGATGCCAGGTTTGCAGAAACACTAATTTAAGGGAATGCTGGCTTTGAGATTCATTGCTATTATGGTACCAATAAAGGAGAACATTTGTAGCTCAGGGTTGAAATGAGGGGTCCTACATAGTGCGACAAACACGCAGAAGACTATCAGAATGCATCCATGAACACCCACTGGTAGTCAGAAGACATGATGAAAATTCTTTAATTTCACAATATATATAGAGATTTAACTCTAGTTTCAATTGGGAAAATATAACACTCCTAGACTAAGCCAAGTCCAAAAATGCCAGGGAATTTCTAGAAGCCTGGCACTCTGACAAATCAGCCATCAATAGATGTTAACAACATCCATAGAATATACAAAAGAGACAATCAATCAGCCCCAAAGAGAAAAAGACTCCAGCACCTCTCCACCATCAGATCAGCATAGATTAATTCCAAAGTCAATTTTGAACCAACCATCAAGCAATCAATTCCACAATCAAGAAACTGCCAAAGAACCAACAGTAAACAGCCCAACCAAAGAATCTCTAAAACCTTCCCCCCACCCGCACAGACAGGCACAGAATATAAAGCAAACAGCACTCCTTACTACCACTGTTCCTTGGTAATGAAACGTCTGGAAGAAAACTAGCCATCTCAGAAAGCACCAAAGACCCCTCTTTTCTGTTATGGTTCTATATAGACAACCCAAAGTCATTTTTGTGTGTGATAGGTGGCTATTTAAATTTGATAAATAAGAAGCGAATGCACCTTTCGTTCTAATCTCTGCTCTTTGAGAGCTGCTCTTATTTTAACCAAAGTTTGGGGAACTAAAGCATTCTGCAATACTCAGAGATAGGCTCGCTCAGCCTATTATTTCCGACTCATGAATTCAGGCTGGATTTTCAGAGTACCAAAGACTCATGCTACCGCTTTAAGAGGGTGGAGAGAGACCGAGAGTCGGCGCCGCCTCGTCTTGCGGTCTTTATTTGGAGGTGTTGTCAAAAGCCCGCGCGGGGAGGAAAGTCGCAGCGACTGTTCATTTTTTTCCCGTGCGTTTGGTGCTGCGGCTACGCAAGATCCTGGGCGCATCATGGGCAAAAGCAGCAGCAACCTGGTCCCGATCCATGTAGGGAAAAAGGTTTTTGTCATCGGAGTTGGTATGACCAAGGTAACTGGACTGGGCCGGGATACTTGGGAGTTCCGGGTTCTAGAGTGGAAATGCAATTGCTATCATCCGTGGTCACGTCTGGAAAGCAGAGCAGGTTGCTTCAAAGGGTTGGTGAAGTTGGCGTGGGAAAATGGTACGGGGGTTTCTCTTTCTCGGCGGGGTCTTATCCATTGGGCACTTGATAAACTCAGTATTCCCCCAAGAGACACGGTCCTGCCTCATTTCTCAGTGCCTTCGAGTTTAGCGATTGCCTGTACCAGTCCCTGCAGTTTTCTTGTCAACATTTAGGAAGGGCTTTACCATTGCCTTTTTCCTAGGGCTGAGAAAGAGTGACTGGCTTAAAGGTCACTCAGTGGCTTAGTGGGCAAGCCTGGAACTCATGGTCTTCTGGTTTATTGCCTGATGCCTTAATAGTTAAACCAAGGTTGACTCTCTTTTATAGTTATACTGTTAGCTATACTTTATAGCTTTTCAGACCTTTAAAATTACCTGTGTGGCAATACCTCTCTGCAGTGGGCCATTGGTTTCGTTAAAAGAATCATTCTCATGTGGCCAGGATCAGTCCAAGGATGGGGCAACCTTGTTTGGCTTTGCAGATTATTCTCTGCAGGCCTTCACAGCTACAGATGTTCTAAGGCAGTGTTTTTCATATTTGTTAAGTTTAAGATGTGTTGAAAGTTGCCAAATTGGAAAAACACCATTCTGAGGAAAAGGTTGGGGAACCATTTAATACAGTTCTGAACACAGAGGTGGTATTCAGCAGGTTCTGACCAGTTCTAGAGAATCAATAGTGGAGAACCGGCAAATACCACCTCTGACTTGAGATTTTACAGCAGGGGTCTTCAAATTTGACAACTTTAAGACTTGTGGACTTCAACTCCCAGAATTTGTCCTCCAGTCATGTTAGCTCAGGAATTCTGGGAGTTGAAGTCCACAAGTCTTAAAGTTGCCAAGTTTGAAGACCCTTGTTTTATACTATCCTTCCCCTGGCATGACCAAGTCATGCCCACAGAACCAGTAGTAAAAAAAAATTGAATCCCACCACTGTCTGAACACCTCTTAATTCTCCAGTGACAATTGGTGCTTTTTTACCTTTTTAATACCCCCTCCCCCTTTTCACCATTTTGTTTAAAAAAAAAAAGGGATAAGGAGAGTGCCTAAGACTCCCTATCTCCCAGTTTCTAGTTTGGTGCTTTTACCATTTCACCAAACTGGTTCTATCTTTACCCAAATGTAAAATCCTCTTGCTTCTTTGTGGCTTGTTTATAGCTTTATCCTTAGAATAGCTTTGTGAGGTAGATTAGGATGAGAGAGGGCAGTGGCCAATCCAAGGCCGTCCAAAGGTCAGGTTTACTGTTCTGGTGTTGGGCGGGGGGGGGGGGGATTTGGCAGATGACTCTGCTCAAAAGATTTTTTAATAATTATTTAATTATTAATTTTTTAATAATTTGAAGGATGATCTGGATTCTCTTTCAAGATCACATCTGGATTGAGAAATTGCACTTCTTTATCATTCCCAAGCTATTATAAATGTTAATGGTTTTGTTCCCTTTTGAGAGTCCTTGGCATCATGTTGTTTAAACATTTCTGACAAGTGCCCTGTAAGAAAAGTCCAACTTGTTCCTGCACTACAAAGGGAAACTGAAGTTAGAGTCCAAGCTCCATCTTGCTGTGACTTTTAATGCCACCTCTTCTGAAGAAACTCAGAGCTCTCCATGTTAATATTTAATTTATTGTGCAACTTGCAATTTATTGTGCAACAAGGTTTTTAATCCTTGTTGCCTAGGATTTATGGACTGTTCCAAATTACAGATTACATTAATTAACTGAGGAGAGAGACAGAGAATTTGATGTACAATTGTGTACAGTGCTCAAACATCCCTTAAAAGACAGCCCTTTACAGGTAGTCCTTGACTTACAACAGTTCATTTGGTGTTACAATGGTTCAAAGTTACAACGGCACTGAAAAAAGTTACTGTCAGTTTTTCACAGTTACGAACTTTGCAGTATCCCTATAGTCATGTGATCAAAATTCAGATGCTTGGCAACTGGTTCTTTTTTATGACCATTGCTTTGTCCCAAGCTTATGTGATCATAATTTGTGACTTCCTGACAAGCCAAGTCAATGGGCAAACCAGAGTCACTTAAGAACCAGGTTACTAACTTTTCAATTGCAGTGATTAACTTAACAACTGTGACAAGATAGGTCATAAAATGGGGCAAACAAATGTCTCACTTAACAATGGAAATTTTGGGCTCCACTATGATCGTAAGTCAAGGACTACCTGTATTTCAGAAAGCTGTCCTTTAGATGTATTTAATTTAATTATTTGTTTTCTTGGTTTTGGTCTTGAATTTTCCTTTATCAGCAGGAGACGGTGAGTTCTAATCTTGCTCTAGGCATGAAAGCTGAATGGGTGACTTGGGGCCAGTCGCTCTCACTCAGCCCAAGCCAACTCACAGGATTATTGTGGGGAAAATAGGACGCAGGTCTCAAATCACTCTGATAAGTCACCCCCCAACTTCTTGGACACAGTGCTGTGCCCTTCTTCCTAGCGCATACTCTGTGTCCTCCATCACTGGGCTTCCTTGGTCTCATCCCTTCCTCCCTAAGTTGTGCATGGTTGCATCAGGCTGCCCAGGATCTCCCACAGCACCCCTGTGCTCCTTAAAATAGGAGGTGGCAGGATTATTCGGTATGCTCATCACCTTGAGTTATATATAAAAAGCAGGATAAAAATCTAGCAATAATTTAGACCTGAAGTTCTTTTTTGGTCATAAGCATCTTCAACATTTGCATTTTTTTTCTAACAGTTTGAAAAACCTGGCCGCCGTGAAAATTTTGATTATCCAGATATGGCAAAGGAAGCAGGTAACATACTGAATATTATACTTAACACTTGGGCACAGCTAGTGACAGATGTGCTATTTGCTTGGTGCTCCAAGCACATAGCTAGTGGCATAAACAGTCAAGTAGTATTGTATTACCAGTAGCCATGGTTTTCAAATCATGGGGCTTGAGGTTCATCTGTTTATGCTAGAGAGGTATGAAAATGTAATTATCTGCAGAAGAGTAAGAAAAGCAATAGAAGAAATGCTGTGTGTGTGAACGTTAACTAAGTTATCTTCATTTTATAATGTTCCCTTTCAGTTCGGGCCTCTACTTCAGAAGAGTAGGCAGGGTACAATAAAAACCTCTGTAAAATACTTACTTAAAAATATAACA